CCTAATGGTTGGGCCAGCCCTGGATAGGTTGCACGGAAAGGAACGCATGAATAAGAACACATGCACCACATGTGTGCATGTATATGTCACACACATGATTACACCGCCTGGTCCAGAATGAAGGCTACCATGAGTGCATAAAAGCTTTAATCGCTGCAGGGAATCCTGGTAGCTTAGGCTGAGAGACTGGCTGGCCCAAAGGTCACCCAGTGAGTTCCATGGCTGAGTGGGGATTGGAATCCTGGGACTCAGCTAGATGGGTAAAGAAAAGGCGTTTTAGATGCGATATAATACCGTGACACCAGATGGCACTATGGAGTTCCATTTTTGCCAACGCGATTTCTCATTCTAAAGGTTACAACGCGTTTTTTCTGAAATGCTTTTCGATGGGTCTAGATCCAGCCAAGGTCTCCCAGGACCTAATCCACCCCTCCACATTGGCAGTCTTCACCATAAACAGCATGAAGATAATGGATTTCCTTCATGGATCATCTCAAAGCAATTTACACGAATATATCTTCAAAATAAGGCTGGCATAGCATCTCTCCTACCCATGGCTGTCAACATTTCCCTTTTTTAAAGGGAAATTCCCTTATTCTGAATAGGATTCCTCGCAAGAAAAGGGAAAAGTTGACAGCCATCCTCCTACCACGATGGTAGATGCCCAATTCAGCTACGAGCTGAATTTATTTTTTGTGCCTTGCAAACCCCTCTCCTCCCCCCACTCCAGTGCTGTTTGGTTTCCCATTTGTGAGATGAATAATCTCCATTTGGAGTACGACAGAGTTGGATGCTGCTGCCAGCCTAGAGCTTACAGCAGAACTGACCTCATCGAAAGAATGAATCACTTGTCCCCTAAGGGAAGGAATACTTCTTCCAGGATCTGAAGCCCCTGTCTTATAATAGCAGCCATCATCAGCAGAGAACAAGGAGGTGGAATCTGTCGGGGCAACGCACCTGGCTTGTAGATAAGTTTCTACGCCTGCCGGGCATTTCACCATCTAGCAACTACCTATTTGATTTGACATTTGCCAATAGATGTGGGGTGCTGGGGGTGGGGGAGGATAGGGAGAGAAGGAGGGGGGAAATGTTTGGAAACAAAAGCTCAGAAGGGAAATTTGAGGATCACAATTTGGCGCTGGTTTCTGCCAAAGCTCGCTGGGTGCTCGATCCCAGGAATTGAAAAATAATATGTATTTTTTTATTTTATTTTTTAAAAAGTCCATCGGTATCTGATTGTTCCTAGCTTCGTGGGAGGTTGCAGGCAGATTGGGGGAAGAGTAGGGGCTTTCCAAGGTCTTGGGGAGAGTTCAGGGAGGGCGCGCACTGCCAAGGGTGCAAAGGATTTCCAGGGTAGAATGCAAGGCAGGAAATCCCCTCCTTATTTATCTGAGGCAGCACGTGTCTCCAGCAAATGTCTACATTTTGCACGTGGGCACATAGGAATCTGGGACCGGGGTCACAGTGCAAAACAGAGTTTGGCACTCCTGGTTTTAATTTCATTTATTTCCAGGGCCAAGCCAAAACTATTTTAAAAATAATAATTACAGCATTGCCAAGTAGGGGAGGAATGCAATTTTCAAAACCATTTCCCTATCCTTTTATTCACCCATACTTATTCATCAGGGGACGCAGGTGGCACTGTGGGTTAAACCACAGAGCCTAGGACTTGTTGATCAGAAGGTCGGCGGTTCGAATCCCCGCGACGGGGTGAGCTCCCATTGCTCGGTCCCTGCTCCTGCCAACCTAGCAGTTCGAAAGCATGTCAAAGTGCAAGTAGATAAATAGGTACCGCTCCGGCGGGAAGGTAAACGGCGTTTCCGTGTGCTGTTCTGGTTCGCCAGAAGTGGCTTAGTCATGCTGGCCACATGACCCAGAAGCTGTATGCCGGCTCCCTCGGCCAATAAAGCGAGATGAGCGCCGCAACCCCAGAGTCGGTCACGACTGGACCTAATGGTCAGGGGTCCCTTTACCTTTACCTTTTTACTTATTCATCAGTGTTCCCCTTACTTCTCACTCTCAAATGCTTGCCATCAGTGATGATACTACATAGCCAAATCTGACTGGCTGGCTAGCATCCGTTCACTAGGTTATCCCTGACTGACTGGGGTCACCCAGGTAAGATGCCAGGAGCCGGAGTCAGAAATAGGTCAGCAGTAAAACACCAGGTGCCTGCGAAGTTAACGATTTGTTCAAAGAAACCAAAAAAGCGCAGGCCTAGTGACCACAGCAACTTTCCCAGGGGGTCTTGCTCCAATGAGGCAGTTGCAAGGACTGAAGGTCCCTGCCTTCCCACTGCTTTCCAAGGTCCTTCTCCAGTTCCTTCCCCAGCAGCCTAAGGCTCATTCGTCTTGTCTCTCTTTACTCCACCCTCTTCATTTCTCTGCATGTTCTGGGAGACCAGAGGGAAGGGAAATGGTTACAGCAGGAGGTGGAGACTCCCTGGATTCTTCAACTCTGCCTCATCTCTGTCTCCGTTCCTCTCCTGCCTCTGAGTCTAGACCAGGCATCCCCAACCTTCAGCTGTCCAGATGTTTTGAACTACAATTCCCATCATCCCTGACCATTGGTCATGTTAGCTAGGGATCATGGGAGTTGTAGGCCAAAACATCTGGAGGGGCACAGGTTGGGGATGCCTGGTCTAGACTGCTCTCTGCCATAGCTTCTTCCTGCTCACTTAACCCTGTTACTTCTTTAGCTCCCTATCACCTCCTCCCAGTTTTCTCCCTCTGATAACCCATCATTGTTCCACCAGCAATCCTTTGACTCGGAGCCTTCTTCCCTTCGGGGTTCCCTGACCTCCCACCACTCCTCTACATCCAGCCAGTCCATGACATAAGCTTTCACTCTTCATGGACATTTGACATGTAAGCAAGATAAGAACTTGATAATGATAATGATGACGACACAAACATTTCTGTGTACCCTTTTGGGGACTGGTACTGCATCATAAAATCCACAGAAACATGCAGAGTTGTGCTCTGATCTGCATGCAATAAACACATTTGATCAGTCCGCAAAAAGCAGACCAGAAAAATCCTCCACCACCACTAGACTGGGCTACTCATTTACTAATATATGAGGGTTGGCTGATGTTGAACAGCAGCAGCAGCAATTTATATTGTTTACTCAATTCCAACTTTTTTAAAAAATCATTGTTAATACTGCTCCCTTGATTATTTGGGTACACCATGCAAAAAAAGGCTAATAGATAAATTACATAAATAAATAAAGGTTTCTCATTTCCCCCACCTTAAATTCAGTTCTCCCTATTCTCACAGTTTGTGATATGATTATTTTGTAAGTTCTAATGAGAGACTGTCAGCATTGTGGTTCATGCTGCTTCCAGCCTACACTTTTCTGCAAGCTATTTTCATCAATATGTGATTCTTAAATTCATGCTTTCACCTAAAATGCACATTTCTTCCTACTTATTACATGCTTGTAAAACTGCACCACAAAATTCAGAGAAGTGTGAATGTTGAAGGACAGGTGTAGTTTTGCTATTGCGTCGTGCGAATTAAGTAGCTTGGCATTAAAATGCAGACTGGACCAAATTTCTCCCCACCCCCAGTCAACTGTCACAACAGATTCATTCCATTGGCTTCAGTGCTGGACTTGCAAACGTGGCTTTCTCATGCTCTGCAATAGGAAGACTTTAACTGATGAAATGCAGGAGCGAGGTAGGCAAACAAAAATGTGAAGGCTTTTCACATTTGAACCCCACCCTTTTGCAGAGACTTTAAAAAAATTAAGCTGTCTTCAGGCAAAAACCCCACCCCACCTGAACCTCCACTATCAGTGCTACTGCTAAGTATGCTCACCTGAAACCTGCCTCCAGTCTGTTTCCAAGGCCTCGTTCCTGACCACCACTTGCTTGGTTATGGTGTTGCTTGTTTTGTTTTACTGTGTTGTTTTTCAGCATTTAATTGTCATGGGGGGGAGGCAGCAGCTGGGGAACCCCCAAGATGAGAAGGCTCAAAGCTAGGAGACTGGTGGTGGGATGACAGTGAGTGGCCAGAGGGAGAAGAGGGAGCAGACTGGAGGGGGGGGGAGGTGCTGGAAACTGAAGAGGCAACAGGGTTTAGTGAGAAGGAAGAGGTTGTGGCAGAGAGCAGTGCAAACTCAGAGGCAGGAGAGGAGGGGGGAGAGGAGATAGAGATGAGGCAGGCTGCTGAAGAAGCCAGGGAGTCTCCCCTTCCTGCTGCAATCAGCTCGCCTCCCTCTTCCCTGATCTCCCAGAACCAAAAGAGGTATGAAGAGGGCGGAGCAAAGGCTGACAAGGCAAAGAAGCCTCAGATTGATTGGGAAGGGGACATAGGAAGCTGTGGGAAGGCAGAGACCTTCAGCCCTCACAACTGCCTCATTGGGGAAAGACCTACTGGGAAGAGCTGCTGTGCCCAAGAGGTCTGAGTTGTTTTGTTTCTTTGAATAAAGACACGTGGAGAGTTTTGGCTGACCTGCTCCCGACTCCTGCCTTGACATTAATACTTTATTAGTCCAAGAAATAGTGGCTTGCCATTCAGAAACAAATTCTAAAACAATAATTACATTTAGTATAGTTACTTGCTCTGCTTTCCCTGCTGTGACCAGCCTTTTCTGAGAGCCCTAGAGCTAAGAGGTAAATCCATCTAGCAGTGAGAAACAGGCCAGTTTGGCATAGGGTGCTGCTGACCTCCATTTACCAAAGGATCTTGTGGGAGGGTAAAAAGGAGAGGATAAAGGTGGCCACAGCTCAATGTTGGAGCACATTTTGCCTGCCAAATAATATCCCTGGTTATTGCAAGAACGTTCAAACCAAGAACCAGAGCCTGGGTTTCCTTCTTTCCTCTTCCCTCCCAATTCCTTTTTCCTTTTGTGTCATCTCTTTTACATCATAAGCCTGAGGGTAGGGGCCGTCTTATTACTCATCACCCGCTCTGGGAGCCTTGTTTCATTTTGGTTTTTTGACTGAAGAGCAGGGTGAAAACACTTTAAAAATACTAAATAAAAATAAAATAACCTGCGGATAGAACAGTCAGTGGAGCATGAGACTTTTAATCTCAGGGTCGTGGGTTGGAGCCCCACACTGGGCAAATGATTCCTGCATTGCAGGGGGTTGGACTAGACAACCCTCATAGCCCCTTCCAACTCTACACTTTAATGAAAATAGTCTTCAACACTTTTGAACCCAAACCTGCAGCTGGGGATCCACTTTTTACTACATGCATCTTTACCATACATGGTGAATAGATTTGCTGGCATGACCCACTTTTAGATCAGGGTGCAACTCAGGGGCAGAGCATAACCCAACTGCTTACCTGTGTTACCTGTGTAGCTGCTTACCTGTGTTGCAAGGATTGGGGGGGAGGGGGAGCTGTGGTGGTCTTGGACTCCAAAACCCATCAACCCGAGCCAACAAGGCCAATGATCAGCAATGATGGGAACTGTAGTCCAGCAACATCTGGAAGCCCCCCTCCCCCACTGAATTGCATCTTCTGGGATAGAGTTATAGATCAGTGTGTTCAGTCCCTACTGCAGGGAATTTTAATTTTTATTTTTTTTAAAACCTGTGTTCTGCCGGTACCCAGAAGGCTGTTTCCACATGGAAAGTTAAGTAAATCTCAGCCATTCAACAGGCAGTTGTCTGTTTGTCTATAAATAAATAAGCTATATGTCTTAAACACAGGAGTTCAAATAGGAAGATCATAAGAACAGCTGGATGGAAAGACTCTGTGGGTTTTCAAGAACTTCTGGTGGCTGGGTGGGGTGGAGTGGGGGCTCCCCCCATAAAAAGGTTGTTTGTGATCACACACCAAGGTTGTGCACTTTGCAACTTGCCGGTCTTCTTATTTCCTAGACAAAACAGTGATGTAAACTTTAGCGGGAGACTACAACACATCTTTCATACCAAGAAGCTACCTCGGAAAGCATCATTTTGTAATTTATTTATTTTTTCCCCAAATAATGTTTAGAACATTTTTTCCCCTTGTTTGCTGTGCTGGGAGACACCAGCTTTTTGGAGACTTTTCATCAAGACCGATGGAGCATTCCTGGGTTTCCTTCTGAATTTGCTCGTTCTGGAGAAAGGGGGTTTTGTGAGAGTTGATGACTAAATGTTAGGCTTCGTTGGCACAGTTGTGGACTCAGCAGGTCCAAGTTTAAATCTTACCTCAGCCGTTGAATGACTATGGAGGGGGCCACCTTGGACACAAAGGTAGCTTTAGTTCTCCACGCATGTAAAAGAAATTGTGAGTGGGTTCAGAAAAACTGGAGCCACACTCTTGCCCAGGGGTAACCAACGTGACACCTATGGCGCAATGGTACCCGTGAAGTCTTCGCTCGTGCCCACCAAACCTATGAGCACTCACACACACATTCACAGCCTCCTTCATCAATAGGTGGTAAACCGAAAGAGGAAGTAGGAAGGGGTTATGATCTTCCCCACTTCCTCTTTCCGTTCTATGTGATTTTCAAGGCTCAGATCAATTCTGTCAGACCCAGTGTGCTGGTCCCGAGGGTTAACTGTGCGGCGAGGTCCGAGTCCAGTCCGAGGTTGAGGGTGCGGTATGGAGGCTGTCCGTCAAAGCTGAAGGCAGGGAGTCGGGTGAGGTCAGGAATTCTGGCAGAAGAGCAGGACAGGGTGAAGGCAGAAACAGGTTACCAACAATGTTGCTCCCGCAACCTGGGACTGGGCTGGCTGGCTTTTATCTGCCCCGAGGCATAGGGCGGCCCCGGTCCACAGGTGACTCGCCTCTCCTGCCCTGGAGGCGAGCACTCCTCCTGCGAGAACTTAGTTCCCTCCGCCTCTCTGCCCTGAGCCTCTGCAGCTCAGGAGAGGCTGGAGGGTTACTGGACCCAGAGGCAACCTCACCTTCCCCTGACAGGGCTGGGAGAGGAGCACCTGCAGGCAATGGGTCCTCCATCACCTCAGGAGCCAGAGCAGACTCAGCTGGTGCCTGCACCTGAGGATCCAGCACAGGTGAGGACCCTTCAGGCTCAAGCCCCAGCCCTGGCTAAGCTGGTTCTGGAGGCGGGGACTCCTGTGCAGGCTGGGATTCCTCAGGTTCAGCCTCCGAGTCCGAATCCCAGGCCATCGCACCCAGCTTTTACCCAGATTCCTTGGAAAAGCTAAGTCTATACATCCATACTTCTTCTCTTGCTGCTTCTCGAGGCATGGGGCTGATCTGAAGGAGTGAGGTGACAGAGGAGGTGGTGCCCATAGTGTTCGCTCAACAATCCAAATGTGCCCATGGGCCTAAAATGGTTGGCATCCTCTATGCTAGCCAGTTGAAAGCTTGATGTCTGCTACCTATGAACATGCAAGGAAGGGAATGTCTGAAGCTTCCCTTCTTTCAAGTGGGTCCATCTTCTTGCCACTGTCACCTCTACCTAGTCATTTTCCCTCTGGGCCCAATCCGCAGCATCAGCCAGGAAGAGAAGTCACAGCAAAGTAGAGGACATTGCTTCTTCTCCATGCTGTTATTCACTATGCAGCTCCTAAGTTGCATCGTCGAATCTGGTTCACGTTACAAGGCAAGGGAGTTGCACTCCTCCATGGAGATCCCTGCCTAACTCAATTGTCTTTCTTTCTCTTGTGGGTTCAGATTCGAAACAGATAGAGAAACAGCTACCACGGCCAGTAGAGGCTGGTCCATTTGGGTAAATGGAGCCCTGTCCCACCAACCAGTCCCGAAGGCACCAGTCGCCACTGATCACAACTCAACAATAGGCTCTGTAGCTCAGTTGGTTGGAGTCTGGTGCTGATAACACCAAAGTTGCAGGTTCAATCTCCGTATGGGACAGCTACATATTCCTGCATTGCAGTAAGTTGGACTACATGATCCTCAGGGTATCATCCAACTCTATGATCCTATTAGCTGCTCCATTCCAGACTGCAGGCTCGCTTAACTGAATGGTCCTCTAGGTGTGTGTGTGTGTGTATATACACACACACACACACACACACACACACACACACACACAACTCTCCATGGGGATCTAGGCTAGAACTCTTAAAACCGGGTGGGTCAGAGCTGCTATGTTAGCTTCACAATTGGTGGGTCACTTTTGCACACTGGGAGGAAGATGGACAAGGTGGTGAGGAGGTCATTGCAGTGCAAACACATTGGCAAGAACACTGTCTCCACCGGAATATTTCCACCATGATCTACCAACATAGGACAAGCCTGCTGGATCAGGCCAGTGGCCCATCTAGCTCAGCATTCTGCTCTCACAGTGGCCACCCAGGTGCCTATGGGATACAAGCTGCAGATGAGCTGTGATTCCCGGCCACTAGTATTCAGCATGCAAGACAGAGAGATCTGGAGGGCTGCGTTTGACCACTGAGCTTGAGGTTCCCCAGTTAGAGAACCTCCAAAGAGGTGTTGAAGATTGAGCTCAGAGAGGATGGGCAAGCCCATCAGCAGCTGTGAGCGCTTTTGCCAAGACTCCCCCATCCTCAAATAAAGAAAACCTGGAGTTAACCCTGCTTGGCACACCACTATAGCATCCCTAGGATGGTATGAATTATGGCTGCTGCAGGAACTGTTACGCCGGTTGCTCTGCCGATGCATGAATACAGCATCTTCCAGACGTCCTGCCTTAGAAAGGAAAAGTTCCCCATTGAAAAATAGCCGGCGCTTTGAGAAAAGACGGGAGGAGGGGCTGCTTCCCCTCGCAGCAGCCAGTGCATGGAAAGAATGGCTCCTTTTATGCCGAGGTTAATACTTGCGGCTTGGGGAGGAAAGTCTGGTTGTAAAACTCCTCTGCGCTTTGAACACTCCATTGGCAAGTATCAAAGTGGCAATTATAGAGCCTCAAAGGGACATCATGTGCTCTGCCCTCCAGGAACAAGGAGAGGTCACTCCATGCAAGAGGGGAAGGTGATCTAAGAGGCTGAACCTCTTAGATGCTGAAGAGCCCCTTTGGAGAAGACACCCTTCGGGTACAACCTGTTGGAATGGAACAGATGACCCTCAGTTGTTGCCAACAAATTCGGATAACTGGACCATATATATTTTTCTGTTTTAAAATATGAAAAATGATTTATTTTTTCCTTTACATATTTTGGGTGGTTTCTGTATGTTTGGTTTGTTTTGCATCTACAGTTCAGGCCTGGGTCTAGCTCTGCTTTCAAGGGGCCCCTGTGGCGAATTTCCAGCTACACCAATGCTTTTCCTGGAGAAGGAAAGCAAGCACAGGGTGGGTCATGTGTGGTGTAGTGGTTAGAGTGTCAGGCTATGCCCTGGGAGGCCAGGGTTCAAATCCCCGCTCGGCTGTGAAGCTCGCTGGATGACCTTGGGCCAGGCATTGCCTTTCAACTTCATAGGATAGTTGTGGGGATTAAATGAGGAAGGGGAGAACCATGGCTGCCACCTTAGGCTCCTTGGATAAAACGATGGGATAAAAATGCAATAAATAAACAACATGTCCTATTTTTCAGAGGACAGGCCTCTTTGAAGGAATGTCAAAGAAACAGTCCTCTATTTCAGGGTTTCCCAAACTTGGGTCTCCAGCTGTTTTTGAGCTGCAACTCCCATCATCCCTAGCTAGCAGGACCAGTGGTCAAGGATGATGGGAATTGTAGTCCAAAAATAGCTGGAGACCCAGCTATTCTCTCATTCAGCAATGGGAAACCTCTGCCTCTGGGGTCCAAATGTGGCCCTCAAGGGTTCCTCTATGTGGTCCTTGGGGATCTCCCCAGACCACATACCCTCTTTAGCCATTCCCCCTTGTCCACAGGCGACACCCCTTGCCACTTCATACCCTCTTTTAGTGCTTTCGCCTGAATGGAATCTGCCACTGAACTCTCATTATTATACATGATTCTCCACCTCCCAGTTTTATCCTCATAGCAACCCTGCCGGGTAGGTTCGGCTGAGCCACTATCCCAAAGCCACCCAGTGAGCTTCATGGCTGAGCAGGGTATTTGGACCCTGGTCTCCTTCCTGGGTGCTACTCTGACACTCTGATCACCCTGCCATATTGGCTCCAGGGAAATAAGTAGTGAAATTAACATGCCAAAAGTTGCATCATGCTAGGGGACATGATTGGACAAAACTGCATACAGGAACTGAGATAAATTTACACTAAAATGCTGAGGAATTTTCATAAGAACTTCAAAAAAATAACCTGCACACTGATGCAAAATTGTGAAAACTGAACTTAAAACCCTGGAAATGGAGAGAAGCCCACATGATTTCCTTTCATGTGTGTAACAGCAGCAGCTAAGGTTCTATCTGAGCAGAAATGGGAGAAAGAAGACGTTCCAACCAAAGAAGAATGGATAAGTAACACAATGGACTACAGTGGTACCTCGGGTTAAGAACTTAATTCGTTCCAGAGGTCTGTTCTTAACCTGAAACTGTTCTTAACCTGAAGCACCACTTTGCTGGGGCCTCCTGCTGCTGCCGCACCACCAGAGCACAATTTCTGTTCTCATCCTGAAGCAAAGTTCTTAACCCAAGGTACTATTTCTGGGTTAGCGGAATCTGTAAGCTGAAGCGTCTGTAACCCGAGATACCACTGTATATGCCGAACTGGCAAAATTAACAGCAAGATTCAGAGAATCGAATAGTGAGCAATTTATGGAAGAATGGATGCCTTTCCCGAACTATTTAAAGAAATATTATGGTATGATGAACTCGCGAGCAAGATTTGAGCTATGAGCAACAGAAATAACGAGATTATAATATCGTGGTTAGGATTTGATGGACGGAAAACAGGGTGCAGCAGAAGGGGAGGAAGAACAACAAAAGGGGGTGGGAAGCAGACGAAAATGAGAGAAAAGGCGAAAATTGTGTTTGATTGTGTATGTTAAAAATGTTGAAACTTAACAAAATGCAATTGAAATTGTTTGGGATGTAGCTTCCTCAATGTGGTGCAACAATTAGAATTGCTCCCCACTGTTTCCATTCCAGTTTTCTGCCTGCTTCTTGCAGTAAACTCAGAGGTGCGCTCACTCAGCCTCCTTTACGAGCCCCTGGCCTCTCAACAGCTTTACGGATGTTTGTGCTAAGTAGCTTTTAGCGGCCCACTGCTGGACCGAGCCACCGTGCTTGGCTTCTCTGCAAAGGCTCTTTGGTCCTAATGCCTACAAACGGTAATCCATTTGGCCTGACTAATCCAGCCTAAAAGGAGGCCAGTGGACTTGAAAGGATGGTCTCATGAGCAAAGCATCTCACCTTTAGGGACAGGTCCCGGAAGCAGCCTCCCTCCCTTCCCATTGGCTGATCTATTTCGCAAAATTAATTAAGGAAGAGACGTGGATTGAGTTTCATTCGCCAGCTTTTGAATCGGGGGGGTTGGGGGATATTCTCCTTGGACCTTTGATGGTCTCAGGGTGAACAGAAGCATCTCCCCATCATTACCAAGCCATAACAAAGACACTTTAAGCTTTCTTTCCCCCCCCAAAAAAAAGAATTTCCCCCCACCCACCCCCAAGTTAGCAATTATATGGGATTACCCGTAGCCCAGGGACACTGGCTACCAATGGGGATTTCATTCTGCTATCTGAAAGGAGCCGCTCAGGCTATCTAGCGGTCCATATGAATTCAGGGGATGTGGAAATGAGAGTTTTCGGGTTTGCATTTTCTGATGGGTAAGAAGGGCACTGGCTCTGCCAAGATGTCAGCAGGAAGGAGCGAGAGGAGACGTTTCGGATCGTGTTTGGTCCTCGTCTAATCAAGTCAAATCTGAAATTAATGAGCGCTAAAGGGGGAGAGCGCAATCTCGGTGCTTTGGGGCAATTGTGAGCTATGCGGTTTTATTTCGCAAAAATGTAAAGCAATATCCTTTTTGGCTGCAGATGAAACGGGGAGAGAAGCATTTTTCATCTTTTCCCATTTGATTTAATACCCCGCTGACTAGCCAGTTTTTGTGTGTGCGAGTGTGTCAAAAGCTCTTTCTCTCTTTTCTTCCAGAGAGCCGAACAAAATCGCAAATCATTTCGAAGGTTAGTGTTCTGGTCTAGCTTTGGCTCATGACAAATTAAACATCTAGGATGAGAAAAGGTCACCCGCAGAAGTCACACTGTTTCTTTCAGCTAACTACAGTCAACTGTCCAAAGCTTATTTTGCATGGCACTAAGTAGTCCAGAGTTCCAGAATTAATGAAGAAGCTTTGAGGTCTTGCTAGCCTGAAACTTGGGCATGTTGAGAGGACAGCCAAAAAAGTAAGAGCAGTCAACACTGAGTTTTTCTGAGGCTGATACAAAATTCGCACTTGGTTCCTTCCTCCATCCCCACCCCTCACTCTATGAGCATGACCCCATGTCCGCTCCTCAGGGCTGCAGGCCTGCCTCCTGAACTTATTCCTCATAGTTCCTGGAGGTGGGAGATAATAAAAATGGAAGGAAGCCATGAAGAAAATAGCAGAGAAAAGGAACTGCTGAAACAACTCAACAACTTCTACCTGCACCTTTAATGCCTCCACACACACCATAGTCCTCCTTAAAAGTTCTTCCACACCAACCACACAAGGAGCAACTGCAAGAATGTGGTCCCCCCCCTAAAGTAAATATTAGCAGCCCAATACAGAGCAGGACTCTGGAGAGGAATGAGGGGGGCTTTAACGCTTTATTCTATCTTCCTGCCAGTGCTATGGTCCAAACGTAGATTGTGATATTTACATTGGAAGGAAAGTTTCCAAGGGAGAGGGAGATTCTCCATGGAAAGAGAGCAGGCATGGAGCTACAATTCCCAGGGAATTCTTGGAATTATGAGAGTCACAGGCCCTCCAAGTGTCCCTATTTTCCAGGGACAGTCCTGGATTTACAGAAGCCATCCCGGTTTCTGATTTGATCCCGGAGTGTCCCACTTTTCCTTAGGACATCCCTATTTTCGTCAAAGAAATGTTGGGAGGGTGAATAGAGGTCTCCAAACACATCTCAGCACCCTTAACAAACTACACTTCCCAGGAGTCTCGGGGTGAATCCATAACTCTTTAAAGTAATATAATGCCATTTTAAATGTAAATGGGATCCAGCAGTGGGGAAGCTGTGGGCCTTGTTGAACTCCAACTCCTTTCGGTCAGAGCCAGCATGCGTAATGGTAAAGAAAAGTCAGAGTATTAACCCAGCAAAATCTGGAGAAACACAAATTCCCCACCCCTCCATCCTCCCACAGCCTATAAAAGGAAATTTTCTCTTTTTCCAACAGGTTACAGGATGGTATTTTCATGGGTCAGTAGTGGAGGGAGCACATTTGACTTTGATAACAAGTCCAGATTTGGAGAATTTGAACATTTACTACTGAAGCGGAAGTAGCTGCCATAATGCCCACAAGACATTGTCGGACTCCGGCTCCCATCATCCCTGACCATTGGCCATGCCGGTGGGGCATGATGGGAATTGGAGTCCAACAACATCTGAAGGGTACCATTTTACCAAGTCCTGTACTAAAGGATAAGGGAAGGATCCTAGCTGTGCGAGAGAGAAAGAGCAACCAACTCTTCGCTAGGACCAAAAGTTAATTCATACTGAGAGAATTTCAAGAAAGCAACTATTTATAGAAATAGCTTGGTAACCTTCATGTAGATCGACACCTTGGTGCAAACATGTAGGATGTGGGGAAATCAAAACTATATATATATATATATATATATATATATATATATCCCTGCAAAGTACATCTGCCCAACTTTTTAGCATTTTAGCAAATAACTTCATCTTTATTTATTTACGCTGACCTCATAAGCTTTTCATTTGGCCGGCTGTGGAGCCTCACACACAAGCCACCTTGGAAAACTTCAAAACTGGTTTTCATAATGAGCCCCCTATCAAATAGCCCTCCATCGCAGCAAGAGCCAAACCACGAAGCGAATTCACAAGTCAGGAGTTCAACGTCGCATTTAGCCTCTGAATGTCAACATCCCTGAAATGCCTGCATAGGATGTATCTCTCTTCGCCATCCTCCAAATACACAATTCAAAACCTTTTCAGAAAAAAAATATATATAGGTGTTTCTCTAGCTTATCAGCTGCTTTTGGTGATTTCTGATGCCAGGGTGTATCACCTTTCACAGTTCAAGTTGTGCTTTGTTATATAAAGTTGCCGCAACTTCCAGAATCCAGCAATTGACCAAGACACAAAGGCTGCAGAGGCAGTGGCAGATGTGGCAGTCATTTTGTGTTATAGCACATACTATACCATAGCTGTCAACTTTCCCCTTTTCTTGCGAGGAATCCTATTTGGAATAAAGGAATTTCCTTTTTAAAAAGGGAAACTTTGACAGCTATGCCCTATACCCATGGAGGGGACGTGGGTGGCGCTGTTGTCTAAACC